GACGGGGACGATTAGGGGGAGGCAAGTATGGGAGGGGTGTTGGGAAAGCAATGACTCAGAAGTGTGAATGGTCTGGGGACGAGAGAGCAGCTCTGTAGTCGGTGTGGTTGAAGGAGCCCAGTGAAGGTCTAGACACAGGCGAGGGGCTTGAACTTTCCCCTCGACTCTCAGGTTCAAAGACAGTGGAGAGGGTACTGCATCAGCCCTGGAGGAGGGAGGTGTGATGGGCCTGAGCACTGACTTCATGGTGTGCTGTGACAATTCATACTTTCATCCTTATACTGTAAGTTCCTTTGTGATGATTGATTGACTCTGCACATGAGCATGAGAGGACTGTGATGTTATGTTGAGCTATTACCTTAGTCCTCAAGTGGTAGAAGGGAGCATGTGGTGGTTGGAATGAGAAGAGCCCCCATAGTCTCATAGGCAATGGCATTATTTGAAAGGATTAGGACATGTGACCTTGTTGGAGTAGGTGTGGCCTTTTTGGAGGAAGTGCGTCACTGGGGATGGGCGTTGAGGTTTCAGGAGCTCAAGCCAGGCCTAGTGACTTACTTTCTTTTCCTGCTCCCTATTGATCTGGATATAGAACTCTCAACTACCTCTGCAGCACAGTGTCTGCCTTCGACTAAACCTCTGAAACTGTGAGCAAGCCCCAATTAAACTGTAAGAGTTGTCATTGTCAGGGTGTCTCTTCATAGCATGTGCAGACCATCTTTACATGAGAGATGTGAGATAATCAACTGATAAAAAAGAACAGGTTCAGTGGGGCGGTGTTGGCGAACGCCTTTAATCCCAGTATTCGGGAGACAGAGACAGGCAGATCTCTGAGTTTGAGGCCAGCCTGATCTACAGAGCGAGATCCAGGATGGCCAGGGCTACACAGAGAAACCCTGTCTCACAAAACAAACAAACAAACAAACAAACAAACAAACAAACAAACAGGCTTATTTTGGCTCGTGGTTTTAGAGCCTCCAAATGTTGTTTGTAGGCCTCTCGTCAGGGTGCAGGGTTGTAATGATGGAAATGTATGCCCACACCATGGTCAGGGGACAAAAAGAAGGAAGAAGCCAGGGCCCACAATCCCCTTCAAGGCCATGCATGTGAACAGGTGTGTGTGTGTGTGTGTGTCTGTCTGTCTGTCTGTCCCCGAGTGTCCAAGATCTTCTTCAGCTAAACACTGATCCTCTGGTTCCCACTCCTCAGTGCTGTGAACTCAGGCATAGACAACTATCTACCATGATGCCTGACCGGCTCCCATTTCTTCTTCTTTTTCTTTTTTAAAAATTGATTGACTGATTAGTTTGAGTCAAGGTCTCATGTATTCCAGCTGGTGCCAAGCTCTGTGCAGCCCAGGATAACCTTGAAGTTCTGGTTTTCCTGCCTTCACCTCTGGAGTGCTGGGATCATGCCGCCATGCTAGATTTATGGAGCACGTGAGATCAAACCCAGGCTTCGTGAATGCTAGGCAAACACCGTGCCAACCAAGCTGTACCCCAGGCCCTTCGCTCAGACTTCTTTTATGTTTCTCGTGTGTGTGTGTGTGTGTGTGTGTGTGTGTGTGTGTGTGTGTGTGTGTAAAACTAATATTGGTCTCGGGAATCTTCCCGTATCCCCCGGCACCTTCCTTGTTTATTAAGGTGTGGTGTCTCGCTTGAAACTAGAACTCACTAATAATGCTAATTTGGCTGTCTAGCTTGCTCTGCGGAGTCCCTGGTCTTTGCTTTCAGAGTGCTGGAATTACAGCTGTGCTACCATACCCATATAGGTTCTGGGGATCCACATTTCAGGCTTTATGCCGGTGTGGCAAGCCTTTTAGCTACCGAGCCATCTCCTCAACCCTCAAATTTCTTTTTATTAAGAAAAAAATTTACATTTGTTTGTATGGGTCTATGTGCGCTCTTGGGCATGGTGTGTGTGTGTCTGTCAGAGGACAACTTGAAGTAGTCAGGTCTCTCCACCCTGTGAGTCCAGGGGCTGGAACTTGGGTGCAAGCACCTTTCCACACCGAGCGGTTTCCCTAACCTGCCACCAGATTTCTCAGTGAAACAAATCGCTTGATGGTGTTGGTGAGAACAGAACAATGACAGAATGGCTTTGTAAGCGCGTGTCTCTGTTCTAATGCAGACTCCAGTGACGTGTATAGCCACAGGAGGGACAGGATTTATCTATGGCGTCCACCGTGAAGGAAGCGCTTGTGGGTAGTACAAAGAGGTGGGCTTGGGCTGCTTTCTGCATTCAGCATCGGCTGTGGGTCCAGTTCTCATCGCTGCTCGGCTGCTCTTTTCTCTGCCGTCTCTTTCCCAGCATCAGTGCTTGAACACAGCCTTCTCTACCTCTGTTTCCATCTCACCCTGGATGCTTCCCGTGATTTCCCATCCAATAAGAGAAGGAGAGTGGAGTTTTGCTTGCCCTGGCAGCCAAACGTCTTGGGGCTTGCTCCAGGCTCCGCCTCCCACACGTCCGTCCACTGCCAGTGTGGACTCCTAGGCTCTTCCCCAGATGCTGTTTTTCCATCCCAGGAGCCGCCGACCTCATTGTTCCTAGGGCTGAAGCCATCCTATAACACAACACTTGCCAATTTGGGAATTGATGGCGGTTTTGCGTTTGTGGCACTAGAGGAGCCAGCTTGTCCCATTGTCCTTTGTCACGAAAACGGTATTAATAGCCTTTCCTTTCCGCTGAGCCTGAACATGGCTGAAAACACAGAAGAGTGCCTGGCATGTCACACATGGACACAACCTGGAAAGTCACTGGTTTAGGAGCCTTGCTGTTGTTTGTGGAAAGTGCCAGAACCCGGCTCTGCTTCCTGCCCTCACAGAACAGCATGACATTTGGCTCAATCAAGCTCCCGTCATGGGTTGCCACACAAACATTGCCTGCCTTGTGCTGTCATTTCCTGGCAGTGAACAATCACTCCCCATTGCCTCAGGATGCTCTCTCTCATCATGTCCCTCTCGTGGCAGCTGAACCAGTCCTCAAAAAGCAGATGTACAGCTGGAGTCATTCTTTTGGGAACACAGGCAGGAACAAAGCCAGTGTGGCGTCTCTGGAAGAGCACCAACTGGGCAGCCCTAGGAGCACAGCTGCACGATTCCGACAATTGAGGAACTGCCCCCCTCCCCCGCCATTAACCTGTCATAGCCACACACGTGCCTTCCTGTCATTTCTTCATCCGACACCATGAGATTGGGAAGGTGGCAGCGGTAACTCTCCTTTTACACAATCACCGACGGGCCTCACCCCATAGCGCTGGCCACTGGATATGACAACATAGCTCCAGCAGCCAAGCTAACCAGTTGTCTTTCTAGCTCTTTCCTCAGTTAATATGCATCGTGTTCTTGGCCACACCTTTAACTTCTGATGCCTCACTTTCTCCCATTACTTAAACGCATTTATAGAGACCGATTCAAGTTGATTTCTGTGTTCTCAGCATAGAATGTTCTGTGTTAGTGGGAAATATGTTTCTTCATATGCCCACTGGGAATAATTGTTAGATAGTAATTCATCAAATAACCAACTAATATTTATGTAACATCTATTTTGTGTATGTCACAGTTGTATGGAGTTCACTGTGAAGGTTTAACAGATTGCTCAGGAGGTCTGTAGCCCTGAAAAGTTAATAATGATTAGTTTGTATTTTAAATGACAAAATGCTGGCTTATTACTTGGGACTTCTTTGTAATAGGAATTTAAGTACAACCAAGGGATAAAAAGTGAATTCACTCAGACATTGGGTTTGGGAAGTAGTAAATTGAATGTTAGTAATAAATGATGTGGACTTTCCTTGTTAGAAGGAAATCCTTCTGGAACCTTCCAGCTTACAAAGCACTATCCTGACAAGGAAATGTTACATAACCCCAAACTGACCATTATCTGGTTACTTGCTTGCAGAGGCAGAAGCTGCCAGACTGTTGAAATGGTCATTTCTGATTCCCAAAAGGTGGAAATAATAAATAAGCAGTTAGATCTACACGCTAAAGGATGGAATGGGAAAAGATTAAAGGTCATGGCTCCCCGGTTTGTCCTGCTTCCCTATTGATGAGACGCCCACCGGTACAACATACTTGGTGTGATTTTTCTTCATATCCTGGAATCCTCATGGAGGCCCTGTCTCCCGCCTGTGTGCAATAACAACAGATCTATAACTTCACAGGACTTAGAATCCTATTTTGTTCATTCTCACAGTTAAAGGATTTCAGATTTTGCGCTTCCCCCTCAGCGATTAGTCCCATCTGCCTTCATCTTAACAGCAGAGAACACGGTTCTGTGGGCCAGGGCATCTGCGTTCAGGAGACGGAGTTATCTCCCGATAATCCTCCTAGCCTCACATTAGCAGCTTTAAATTGTTCAGTATTTTAGAAACACCATCATCCCCGCATATTAAATATTAAGGGCCTCCCTCGGCGCCCGAACCTTGAAAGTTATTCTCTGTAAAATCTGCGCGAGTGTTTCCATGGTGCAGAATGAACGTTGCAGCGAGGTTTTTTGGAAGCAGCAATGGCTATAAACGTCATTCCCGCCCATGCCGTTCACAAGGGCCCATTTGCTGTGAAATATTTTGAAAACACAGCTGAAGCGGGGACAGCGCAGAGCACAAACATGCAAAAATAAAAAAAAAAAAACCGAGCGGAACGTGATGGACGATGAAGGGAGTGACAGCTTCAGGAAACCAACGTAAACCTAGAGGGACCGACGCTGCTGTGGTGCGGGGACCACTGGAGGCCGTTCCCCAGGAGCTGGGAGGCCTCGCGGGTGGAGGAAGGCGCCATCGAGCCCGCTTTCTCCCCCGCAGCATCGGGGAGCAGGGCCTGCCGGGCCCCAGTCCTCCCAGACCCAAAAATAGCTACACAAACGCGAGCGGAGCTCCGGCCTGCCGCGCTGGGCGGAGCCAGAGCCAGGCTTATCGCTCACAGCCCAGGCGCTCCGGCCGCACCCAGAGCGGGCCCTTTATAGCCGGTCCCTCGAGCCCCGCCCTAGCAACCGCCCCTAGCAACGCCTAGCCTTAGCGCTCGGTGGGCTTATCGGCCTCCCGCAGGCCTTTCCTGTCCCCTCCCCCCACACCAGCCGCGCGACGCCGGGCCACGTGACCGCCCTCCGGAAAGGCGGGGGTGAGTGGGAACGTGCGGGGCGGGGCGCTGGAAGCGGAGGCCTTTCGTCATCAAGGTGCGACCAGGTGGTTGCGTCGCCTAGTGTTCGTCACCGCCCCGAGGTTCCGTCCCCCGGCGAGATGGCGGAGGTTGCGGTGCTGGCGTGGGTTCGCGGCCCCGGAACCGGGTGCAGGGCGCTGCCGTGTGCCTCGGCGAGGTGCTCCGTGCGCGATGTTATCTACCGACACTGCCAGGAACAGGTGAGGATCGCGGCTCCCGGAAGGGGGGGGGAAGGAGGCTCACCCGGCCAGGCTGGGTTTGTCGTGGGTGCCTCTGTTGTCTGGACAGTTTTTGAGGCTGAGAATTCTCCAGTTCCAGGCGCTCCCGATCAGTATTGGGGCCTTCCTCTGGTATTCTATGGCGGTAGTTGTTTTGCCCCCACATCGTAAGAGAAAACAATCCAGTTACGGCTCTTATCCAACCTTGATTAGAAACTCTTTGGTTCTCTTTCTTTATCCCTAAATGATGCCGTTAAGACTTCTTACATTCATATTATGGATAGGAATATGCTTTTTTAATCCACCCATCTGGAAACCCTGTTAGTTCCAACCTAGAGAACAGGCCATAGCCAGACCCAGGCCAAAGGACGTTTAGAGAAGGACACGGATTCATCTGATCACTGGTCACAGCCAGTCATCACAGGTTCTGTTGACATCACAGGCTCTTGGCCCTCTTTAGACTCTGCCTGTTCCCCTTGCCCACGTGAATTTATGAAACCCTGGTCAAGGGCTTCTAAAGTTGTGCACTTTAATTCCCAAATAAACAATCTTTTACTGACTATGAAATTCTAAACCTCTTCGATTATCTAAAGAACTTACTGGTCTCCCTGAATCTAATTTTAATCTGGACATTTGGTCTAGAACGGTTTTTTTGTTTATGACCACACCTTTTTTTTGTGGTATTGGAGTCTGTTTTCTCTGCTTGTTATGTATAAGCATAACACATGTTAAAGTACTAAATCTAGTTCCTCGAAGAAGCAGTGTGTGCTTGTAAATAATGTGATTTTCTTTTTTTTGTTTGTGTGGGGGGTTTTTTTTGTTTGTTTTTCAAGACAGAGTTTCTCTGTGTAGCCCTGGCTGTCCCTAGAACTTGCTTTGCAGACCAGGTTGGCCTGGAACTCACAGAGATCCACCTGCCTCTGCCTCCCAAGTGCTGGGATTAAAGGTGTGTGCCACCATTCGCTGTCATAATGTGATTTTTCTAATTTCTTTGTTCTTTTAAAAAAGGAGGGGAAAAAAAAAACCTGCAAGGTCTTGTCTTGTATCCCAGCCCAGTATGGTCTCAACATACCGGGGTTCTGGGATTATTTGTGTATACCACCACATCTGGCCTTTTGTTTTCTTTTCTATACTGAAGTCCAGTAAAAAATGCAGACCTGCCCGGGCAGTGATAGTGTAGGGAAGAGCATCACTTCATGTTTTCCCCTCTCAAAACAGGGTTTCTCTGTGTAGCCCTGGCTGTCCTGGATCTCACGATGTAGACTAGGCCGGCCTCAAACTTTGTGATCCACCTTCCTTTGCCTGGGATTAAAGGTGTGGACCACCATTCCCGCCTAGGGCACTTAATTTCTAGCCCAGGTGTGCAACTTGCAATTAGGGGCTTCTGAATAGTTCTACATCTAAAATTTGCAGTTCCAAGGGAAGAGGAGCCTGGGTATACTCAACAGTCCAGACCTTATGTTGGCCCTTACACACCTGCTTTGTTTTAAGCCTGTCAGAATACTGCTTTATTTAAATTTCCCTATACTCCATCCTGTAATAATGCTTGCTTTCTGTTAGGGGCTGGGGAGATATCCTGTGATTACTCTTGTTACTGTTCCTCCTCACTGCAGTGGGTCAGAACATTTACCCACGGTTTGTCCTGACACTCAGGCTGACCAGACAAGGGGATGAGTAAAATGCCTTGTGCTTGAAGCACCTGTCCACACATCTGTGAAATTTATCTTCTTATTCTGGTTTCTACTAGAGACTTAACTGACAAGAATCTTCAATAGAAAATGCAGGGTACTGGAGTGATGGCTCTGTGGTTAAGAGCACTTGCTGTTCTTCCAGAGGACTTGAATTTGGCTCCTAGCACCCATGTCGGGTAGCTTACAACCATCTGTAACTCTGGCTCCAGGGGACTAGGTACCCTTTGTTGCTGGAGTTTTCCTGCCTGGCCCACAGTCGGGACAAATCTCTCTCACCCACCAGTCCCACAGCCCCTCAGACCCGACCAAGTAAACACAGAGACTTATATTGGTTACAAACTGTATGGCCGTGGCAGGCTTCTTGCTAACTGTTCTTATAGCTTAAATCAATCCATTTCTATTAATCTATACCTTGCCACATGGCTCGTGGCTTACCGGCATCTTTACATGCTGTTTGCCATCATGGCAGCTGGCAGTGTTTCTCTCTCTCAGCCTTCCACTTCCCAGCTCTATTCTCCTCCTTGTCCCGCCTATACTTCCTGCCTGGCCACGGGCCAATCAGTGTTTTATTTATTGACCAATCAGCAACACATTTGACATACAGACCATCCCACAGCACTTCCCCTTTTCTTTTCTTAAAAAGGAAGGTTTTAACCTTTACACATCTCCAAAGTCAGCTTGGTATATTTGGGAATTTGGACGTAGCTTTACCTCTGGCCTCTGAGGACATCTGTGCTGATCCTACATATAGACAGACATAATACACCTACACATAATTCAAAATAATAAAAAGGAAATCTTTTTGTAAAAAAAAGAAAATAAAACACAGCTTTGATGTGTTTTTTTTTGTTTGTTTGTTTGTTTGTTTTTTTGTTTTTAAACAGCCAGGCAGTGGTGGTGCACACCTTTAATCCCAGCACTTTGGAGGCAGAGGTAGGTGGATCTCAATGAGTTCGAGGCCAGCATGATCTACAAAGCAAGTTCCAGGACAGCCAGGACTGTTAAACAGATAAACCCTGTCTCAAAGAACCCAAAAAACAAACAAACAAAACCAAGCAATTTTGTTTGGAAATAATAGTTTCTGCCTTCACGTTAATGTCTTTCAAAGTTTTGTAGCCTGTCAATGGTGGTACAAGCCTTTATTCCCACACTGGAGGCAGAGGCTGGTGAGTTTGAGGACATCCAGGGCTACAGAGAGAAAACCTATCTCAAAAAACAAAACAAAAAATGTGGAAAGACCGTATATATTACATATAAAGATGTTAAAGTGGATTTTAGTTACAACATTAATATGAGGTGAGTCTTTACAACTTAAGGTAGACAGTTTCACAGACAAGAGTAGCGCTTCATACCAGTCCTTTCGCTGGGGATGGCCTCCGCTCCCTAGCTCTTCTTCCCTTGTCCTTTTCGTTGGCGGCGGTGTTTTCCTCACTGAGAAGGTGAGAGACTTGCTGTCTTCACACTCACGCCTCTGCCTTTCAGCCTTCTCCGCTGTGGATGAACTGTCACTCTACAAGTGATTTGTGGCTACCTTCTTTGCACAGTTAGGTTCAGCTGTCAACTTGACATAGCTCAGAGTTGTCCACGGGATTCTCAGTTGGGGGTGTCTCTACCCACCTGGCCTGTGGCATTCTCTGGGAATCATTTTCTTGATTGCTAATTGATTAGGAAGGCCAAGGTTACTGTGGGTGGTGCCACCCCAGACGGGTGGGCCTGGGATGCATAGGAGAGCTAGCTGAGCAGCCACAGAGAGCAGGCCAGTGAGCAGGCCAGTGAGCGGGCCAGTGAGCAGCGCTTCCCCGTGGTTTCTGCTTCAGCTCCTGCCAGACTGTGACCTGGGCGTGTAAGCTGACATCAGTCCTCTCCTCCCTACTTGCTTTTGGTCATGGTGTTCAGCACAACAGAAGAGCAGTCAGTTTTGAGTTTTCATCCCATGTATTTTTTTTAGACTTTGTGTGTTTATTGTGTGACACAGTTGACCATGGCTGTCCCATGCATCCATCCGTCACCATCTTCCCTTTTCCTCCCTCTGGCCTCCCTTCTAGTCCTCCACTGCCCCTCCTCCCCCAGACTCTAACTTTGGAGTCACTGGGGTTTATCTTCTCATCTTTTTCCTGATAACTTTTCCTCTCATGTGACTGTATGCCGTCACATGGCTTCAAGTGACATTAGTATATTGACAGCTCTGTGTGTGTGTGTGGGGGGGGGGAGTTTGGTTTGGTTTGGTTTTTGAGACAAGGTCTCTCTCTTAGGTAATGTTGCTGTCCTGGAACTCACAGAGATCTGTCTGCCTCTGCCTCTCATCTGCTGGGATTAAAGGCATGGTCGGTCACCTTGCCAGGCCAGTAGTTTTATTTAGAGTAAAAACTAAAATCCTCATTGGTGCATGCCCTGATATCTCAGCCCTTGAAGACTGAGGAAGGGAGATTTGCAAGTTTGAGTCCAGAATCTAGGCTACATAGTGATGTAATACCTCCTCCAAAACAAAACAAAACTCCCCAAATGTACCCCTGCCTCTCTGCCTTCTCCCTTCTTCTCCCTACCTACACATGTCAGGATGGCTGGCAGTTTTAAGCTTTGGATCAGTTTTGATATTGACTTTTTTTTTTTTAACCAGTCAGGAGAAACGAGTGAGGCTTCTGAGCGCTGTGTAGCCTGCTACCATGGTTCAGGTGACCTATGAGAGACAGGAGGGAGATGCTCAGGTCACAGTGGAAACTGCACCCGAACATAGAGAAGAACTGGTTTAGTCATTGTTTTCAACTTAACAAATAGTAACCAAACCTTTATCTGTTTGTTAACAAGATTAATAAAAGAAGTTAGGTCTCGTCTGGTATCATGTCATGAAGGTATTAAAAAATTACTCTTGTCTCTAGGGAGTTCCTGCGGACTGCTTCTTTGTGAAATGCAGTGGAGTCCTCGTTGCCGCCAGCGACACGGTGCAGCATGGGGCAGTGTACAGTTTGGAGCCCAGGCTCTGTGGGGGGAAAGGAGGTAGGACATGACGTTGATGGCTTGTTGTCTGTGGTTCTTAGTGTGTTGGAAATTAACAAACTTGTTGGTCTCTGATATACCAGCCTTGTTTTGCCTTGTGGAACCATTTTTACTCAGTTTTGGGTAATTTTGGGGGTTTATTCTTTTTGAGAAAAAAAATAACTCGGACAAAGCCTTGCTTCTCCAGCCAGGCTGCTCTTTGAGAGTGTTGGCTGCGATACTTTAGGGAGGGTTAGCAATGAAAGGTGGTCATTGTTCCTTCCAGCTTGCTGAAGGGCAAGCTTTAAAACAGTCAGACCTGTTGCTATCAAGATTTTGTCTCCTGCTGTACTTGTAAGGGTGACCCAAAGTCACCTTAGGAAACAACTCTTGCCAGGCCAGGTAGACTAAGGTCCTGGCTATACTGGTGAGGCAAAGGCCAGGCAATGGTGGTGCACACCTTTAATCCCAGCACTTGGGGGACAGAGACAGGCAGATCTCCGAATTCAAGGCCAGCCTGGTCTACAGAGTGAGTTCTAGGACAGCCAGAGCTGTTACACAGAGAAGCCCTGTCTCGGAAAACCAAGAAAATAAAGAGGAGGGTAAAAGGCTGGAGAGATGGCTCAGTGGTTAAAAGCGCTGTCTTTTAACCACTGGAGGACCTAGGTTCAATTCCCAGTACCCACATGGCAGCTCACAACTGTCTGTAACTCCAAGATCTGACACCCTCACACAGACATACATACAGACAAAACACCAGTGCACATAAATACATTTTTTGGTTTGTTTCTTTCAAGACAGGGTTTCTCTGTGTAACAGAACCTTGGCTGTCCTGGAACTCACTTTATAGACCAGGCTGACCTTGCACTCACAGAGATGTGTCTGCCTCTGCCTTCCCAGCTGGAATTAAAGACATGAGCTACCATGCCCAACAAAAGCAAAGAAACCAGAAGAATAAAAACAGATCATGAACAGCTGTGGTTGTTTCTTCTGATGCACGAGCATATTCTCAAGTTTTCTCAGAGTCTGATGTGGTTTGCTTTCAGAAGACAGACATCTCAGACTAATTGTCCTGCCTTTTGAAATGTGTCCATAAGAAAGCAGCATGTTCTCAGATGCCAGCAGCTTAGAGTTGCCCCACCCCCAAACTTAAGAAGAAGAAATGCCTGGCGTGGTGGCACACACCTCTAACGCCAGCACTCAGGAGGCAGAGTCAGGGGATCTTTGAATTCAAGGAATTCAAGGCCAGTCTGGTCTACAGAGGAGTTCTAGGAGAGCCAAGGGGAGCTACACAGAGAAGCTTTTTCTCAAAAAACCAAAGTGTGGGGGAAAGAACACCACATTATTACAACTATTATTTGTCTTTTAAGACAGGGTCTTGATAATTAAGTCAAACTGACCTTGAATTTGTGCCAATCCTCCTGCCTCAATTTCCCAAATGCTGGGATTATAGGTAGGTGGTATCATTGCCAGGCTCACTTAATAATTTTGAAGTTTTTGTTTATTTCTTTATTAATTTGTAGCCAATCTGATGTGGAACTCAGAATGTAGCTCAGATTCACTTCAGTTTTCCTTCTTGTCCTTCCCAGAGTACATGAGCCACCATTACCTGTGTAGACCAGGCTGTCCTCAGACTCAGACATGCTTTTGCCTCTGCTTCCTCTCCAGTTGGTTTTTAAATACAGTGTGATGTAGCCGGGCAGTGGTGTGGTGGTACATGCTTTTTAGTCTCAGCACTCAGGAGACAGAGGCAGGCAGATCTCTGAGTTTGAGGCCACTCTGGTCTACAGAGTGAGTTCTAGGATAGCCAGGGCTACACAGAGAAACCCTGTCTCAAAAAACAAACAAACAGCCGGGCGGTGGTGGCGCACGCCTTTAATCCCAGCACTCGGGAGGCAGAGCCAGGCGGATCTCTGTGAGTTCGAGGCCAGCCTGGACTACCAAGTGAGTTCCAGGAAAGGCGCAAAGCTACACAGAGAAACCCTGTCTCGAAAAACCAAAAAAAAAAAAAAAAAAAAACAACCCGCCATAGCTGATGTAGATGTACTGGTGGCCAATCTGATGTGCTTCTTACAGCAAATTTGTACTCCAAGGGGAAAGGCACATGATTTCCTACAATGAGCCACCTTATAAATCAACACGCAATTCTAGTTCTGTATGTCTGGTGTATGTGTTCCTGTGCATGTGTGTAGGAGTGCATATTTGTGAGTTAGCACATGTATGTGGAGGCTGTGGGTTGAGATGGGCTGGCTGTCTTCCTTGGAGTCTCTTCTTCATTTTATTTGTAGAGACGGGATTTCTCACTGACCCTGGAGTTTACCAGTTTGGCTAATGAACTCCAGGGATCCTCTAGTCGCATTGCTGAGGTTATAAGCACATGTCTTGTGTCCAGCTTTTGCATGGATGCTGAGGATCCAGAACTCAGTTCCTTAGGCTTACACAGCATGCACTTAACTGACTGAGCTGCCTCCCAAGTCCCATTACATAGTTCTCCATCTAGGGATCTTGGAGTCTCTGGCATTGACTAAAGCTTTTCATTGATCCTACCTGTACAGTACAGCATTTCAGAAATACAGAGTGAAAGGCAGCAAACACAAAGCTAATCAAGTTGATCAATACCTTTGTTTCCTGGGTAGAAACCTTGATGTCCATCTACTTTTTCAAAAAGAAAAAGAAAGAGTGTGGGGTTTATTTTTAGTCTTGTGATATAGGTTATTCTCATTAATCTGGCTTGTGTCTGTCCTTGGCATCCTTAACCACTTAATCTGTCTATATGTTGGTTTCAGGTTTTGGGTCTATGCTTCGAGCTCTTGGTGCTCAGATAGAGAAGACAACCAATCGAGAAGCCTGCCGGGACCTCAGTGGGAGGAGATTACGAGATGTCAATCACGAGAAAGCGTAAGATACCCACTTTGTAGTTAAGTCTCTTACAGTATGGTAACATTAGGCACGACACACCTTTCAGGAGAAGTGTCCCGGTATGACTAGGAGTCCGTTCCTTGTCTAGGGAGCATTTGTATGTAGTCAGAATGCTTGGTGAGTTCTGAGAAATCGCGTTACCAGAGTCCCTGATGCGAGCCTCACAGAGGGAGTATTAGTAAACCCAGACGTATGATCAGTCACCTGATGCAGTGAAGAGATTGTGGACTGATGTGGGTGAGGTGTCGCTTATGAGACATGACATGGAGTTTCACAGTAAACTTGACTTTTGTCTGTCTGTCTGTCTGTTAGGTTTTTGTTTTTTGAGACAGGGTCTCTCCCTGTAGCCCTCACTGTCCTTTAACTCACTCTGTAGACCAGAATGGCTTCAAATTCACAGAGCTCTGCCTGACTCTGCCTCCCAGTGCTGGGATTAAAGGTGTGCACCACTGGGCCTTTGATAAGTAAACTTGACTTCATAAGTAGGAGCGTGAGTGAAACAGTGGCAGAATAACAGTGCAGTTGGTGGTAGAGCACTTGCTTCAGGTCCTGGGTCTGATCCCTGTGATCCCCCAGTAAATAGTGCAGTAGCTGTCTAAATCAGTGGCAGTTATTAGCAAGCAGTATGTCGTGTGCATGACTGTTCTCTAATTTTTATTTATTATGTATACAGTGTTCTGTCTGCATATATGCCTACATGCTAGAAGAGGGCACCAGATCTCATTACAGATGGTTGTGAGCCACCATGTGGGTGCTGGGGTTTGAACTCAGGACCTCTGGAAGAGCAGCCCTCTTAACCTCTGAGCCATCTCTCCAGCCCTGTTCTGTACTTTTATGCTACTCAGAGCTGGAGGGTTGTTTTATTTGGTGTTGTTTTAATAACACATCAGCATAAGCAGGTGAGTAAATATTACATGACTACAGTGTCACTAAGCAGTAAGAGTTTTTCAACTGTATTGTAGCATGGGACCACCTTCTGTGTGTGGTCTGCCACTGATCTAAATCCTGTTGTGACACGTGACTGTGTAAGCTCGTGAATGATGCGTCCATTCAGTTCCATCCCCACCCTCCCCAGGATGGCCGAGTGGGTGAAGCAGCAAGCCGAGCGCGAGGCTGAGAAGGAGCAGAAGCGCCTGGAGAGGCTGCAGCGAAAGCTGGCGGAGCCCAAGCACTGCTTCAGCAGCCCCGACTACCAGAGGCAGTGCCACGAGATGGCCGAGCGCCTGGAGGATTCCGTCCTCAAAGGTGAGGGGAGCCAGGAGTCCTGTGTGCCCTGCAGGCCCCTGGAGCCGGGAGCCTTCAGACCACTCCACGGGGAGGAGTGGCTCTTGAGCAGTTTGCAAGAGGATGACGGAAGCCTTGGAACCTCTCTCTTCAAAAATCAACACAGCCCTTCTAGCACATGCTAACCCCACACCACACCCAGCACATCACAGATGCAACATCTGGCACGTTGAACCTCCAAATTTCTTAGGCTCTTGGGCCCCAGGGAAGAGCATCTTTTCTGTCTCTGGGCAGTGCAGGGCTAAGGAAAGCCTTCAGGAGTTGGCATATACCTCAGCATATTCTTTTAAGCATCCAGTGCAGTGTCCTGGGCCTATCATGAATGTAGTTGATTTAAAGGGTCCTTTTCATTAGAAAGGGTGTACTAGGACAGGAAAGACAAATGTCTGTAAATAACTGTTAGATATGAACCTTCAGCCTCAGCTACAAATTGCATATTGGTGTTTTAAAAATACGGTTCTAGTCCGGGCGGTGGTGGCGCACGCCTTTAATCCCAGCACTCGGGAGGCAGAGGCAGGCGGATCTCTGTGAGTTCGAGGCCAGCCTGGTCTCCAAAGCGAGTACCAGGAAAGGCGCAAAGCTACACAGAGAAACCCTGTCTCGAAAAACCAAAAAAAAAAAATAATAAAAAAAATAAAAATACGGTTCTAAAGCCGAGTGGTGGTGGCGCATATCTTTAATCCCAGCACTTGGGATGCAGAGGCAGGCAGATCACTTGTGAGTTCCAGGATAGCCAGGACTGTTATATAGAGAAACCCTGTCAGGAAAAACCAAAAACCAAACAAACAAACAAAAACCTGTTCTAAGCTGGATGTGGTGGTCCATGCCTTTAATTGCAGTATTCAGGAGACAGAGGCAGAGGGAGCTCTGTGAGTTCTAGGCCAGCCTGGTCTGCATAGCAAGTTCCAGGAATGGCAGAACTACATAATAGAGAGACCTGTTCCCCCAAAAACGGATGGATGGATGGATCAATCAGAAAATACTATTCTAGGGGCTGAGTGTGAAGCAGAGGCAGATGGATTTCAGTGAGTTCACAGTCTACACAGTAAATTCCAGGCTAACCAGGCCACATAGAGAAACCCTGTCCCTTAAAAATAAACAAGATTGGGGCGGTGGTGGGGCACACCTTTAATCCCAGCACTCAAGAGGCAGAGGCAGATCTCTGAATTCGAGGCCAGCCTGGTCTACAGAGCAAGTTCCAAGACAGCCAAGGCTACACAGAGAAACCCTGTCTCAAACAACAACAACAACAACAAAATTTTAAGAGATTATAGCACTTTTTACAACCCAGATTATATCCTTACAAAAAACTGATTAAATTTTCCACCCAGGTATGCAGGCTGCCTCCAGCAAGATGGTGTCAGCAGAAATCAGTGAGACTCGGAAACGGCCTATCAAGTCAAAGACAGACCAGGGAGCTGGTGCCAAGAAAAGGAAATGCTTTTGGTCAGTCTCCAGCTTTTTGCTGATTGGTCCTTGAGGACCTGATGGATGTTTTCATCTTGTCTCCCTCCCCTCCCCTCCCCTCCCCTCCCCTCCCCTCCCCTCCCCTCTCCTCTTTGATTTTCTTTTCTTTCTGTTGTGTGTGATAGAGCATTGCTTTGTCTGCCAGGCTACCCTTCAACCTTGAATCCTCCTGCATCAGCCTGCTGCTTTGATCTCAGATCACCAACACGGGCCACCACACCCAGGGCTTGAACAAGCACATTTTTAAGTAGCATTGATGGTAGCTCATTTCCAGAGTGCTTCAGTCTTCAGAGTTTTGACTGGCACCCTGCACATGTCAGTAGTGTTGATAAGGCTGTGCATGTGTGTGGAGGCCAGAGGTCGGCATTGATGCCTTACCATCTCTTTTTGACATGGTTCCTCACTGAACTTGGATCTGTCCGTTCGGTTAGGTTTGCTAACCAGTGAGTGCCAGGATCCTATTCCCGCCCCTGTGCTGGGATCTCAGATGTTCCCTCTTCACCTGGCTTCTTACCTGGGTAGGGGGTTCTGAACCCAGGTCCTCATGCGTGTGTCAGGCACGTCACCACCTGAGCTGTTTCCCTAGCCCCGGAAGGACAATTCTTCTCCCTTCATAGTGAAATATCACATAAAAAATAGCCTTATTCATTTTTTCCAAGTTTTTATTATTTTATGTGTATGGATGTTCTGCCTGAAATACAGTCAAGACGGAAAATTTTCATATGGGCAGTAGTCCTTATGTTCCCTCAGACATCCTTTAGCCAAGGTACTCCGGCAACCAGTTACCACCACTCCGATGTTGGCGTTCTTCCAGCCTTCTCTAGAGTGTCAGGTCGCCTCTGCCTTCTTGGGTGTAATGTGTGCTTCTTAAGGTTCGTCCCTGCCTAGTTGTTTGGGTTCTTGACTCGGGTCTTGCTGTGTAGCCAAGAACAAGGAATTCCCGATCCTCTTGCCTCCCCTTCTGGGTGCTGGGGTTACAGGCATGCACTGCCGTGCCACGCTCTTCTGCTTTTTGTTGTAAAGCTGCCTGAGATTCCCGTTTCTGTACCCAGTCTCCACCTGTTCGATGCCTTGGAGACTTTGTAGTTAGGGCTATCGTCTGCTTAGCGTTGTTACCACTCTTCAGTGGACACCATGACCAGAGCAGCTCGGGAGGAAAGGAGTTTCTCGGCTTATGCTTCCACATAACTGTTGATTGCTGAAGGAAGTCAGGGTGGGAACTCAAGCTGGGCAGGAACCTGGAGGCAGGAGCTGATGCAGAGGCCGTGGAGGAGGGAACATCTGAGATCCCAGCACAGGGGCGGGAATAGGATCCTGGCACTCACTGGCTTGCTCTTTATGTATGGCTTGCTCAGCCTGCTTTCTTATAGAACCAGGACCGCCAGCCCAGAGGTGGCCCCACCTACAGTGTTCTGGGTCCTCTCACATCAGTCACTAATTAAGAAAATGCCCTGCAGGCCTGCCTACAGCCCCATCTTATGGAGGTACTTTCTTAATTAAGGTCTCCTCCTTTCAGATGACTTTAGATGTGTCAAGTTGATGTAAAACCGTCCAGCACAGCAATTACGAATAAAGCATAGGGTGTTCTCCCTCTTGCTTGATGATACTAGAAATAATACTAGGGCCTCACACGTACTAAACAAGCATTCTGCCACTGAGCTTCACCCTCAGACCTAAAGATTTTCTTTATGGCTTTTTACTGTGTCTAATTGTCCACAGTTGAAATTAATATAGAAAGGGAAAGTTTCAAGTGTAATTCTAAAAGAATCACAATTTTAAAAAAGACCTAAGAGAACATACAAGGAAGAGTGTGTGTCCTGAGGGCGAGCACTCCTGCTGGGTTTTACAGGGTTAACTGCAGTCCCTTCTTTGTGCCTCTGGAGTGCACTTTTCTGAAATCTACCTACTCTCCGTCTTGGCAGCCCGTGCTCTTACTCTGCTTGACAGAGTCCAGCACCAGGGAGGGGGCAGGTTGGAAACGGTGTCACACCTTTCTTTCTGCTGCTCCCACAGGTTGGGCATGGAGGGACTGGAGGCCGCCGAGGGGTCCAGCGCTGGGAGCTCGGATGATGACAGTGAGGACGCCCCTGGTACTTCGGAGCGGAGCTGCTGTGCTCCAGGAAATGGTAGTGATGCTGTGGAGGTGGCAGCCGACTGTCCTTGCAGTCCTCAGAGCTCAGGATTGAATGCAGACTCCGAGTCCTCAGAAGAGCTTCAGAAAACCGTGACCGACCCTGGGCAGGACATTTTGGAGAACACACGAACTGAGCTGGGAGAGACATCTTCCAGGGAGCACAGCGAACGGCAGATGGTCACAGAAACAGAAGAGACCCCAGCAAAGAAGGAGACAGAGAGTCCCAAACCCACACAAGAGGACCAAGAGACAGGAGTGATTGGTGGGGACAGAACTGCCATGACAGAATCTGGAGAAGATAGGAAAAGCATCCCTGCTGCTGACCTGGAGAGAAGCCACTCAGGAGACACAGTATGTTGGGGTTTGGTTTGGTTTTGTTTTCCCTTTTTTTTTAAATTTTTTTAATTTTTGAAAAATCAATATATATATATTATATATAAAGAATATATATGTATATACATATGTATATATAAATAAAGAATATGTAGCTCTTGGTGACCTGGAACTTGCTATGTAGGCCAGGCTGGCCCCAAACTGAAGATGATCTTCCTGCCTGTACCTCTCCAATGCTGGGATTACAGGTACGTGCCACCAACCCAGCCCTTTCCGTTTCTTTTTAAATTTTTATTGTTTTATGTGTGTGGATGGTCTGCCTGCATGTATATCTGCATTAAAAGTGCAGGTTTGGCCTGGCGGTGGTGGCGCACGCCTTTAATCCCAGCACTCGGGAGGCAGAGCCAGGCGGATCTCTGTGAGTTCGAGGCCAGCCTGGGCTACCAAGTGAGTTCCAGGAAAAGGCGCAAAGCTACACAGAGAAACCCTGTCTCGAAAAACCAAAAAAAAAAAAAAAAAAAAAAAAAAAGTGCAGGTTTGGTACCCATGGAGGCCAAAAAAAAAAGTGCAGGTTTGGTACCCATGGAGGCCAAAAGAGGGCATTGGGTCCACTGAAACTGGAGTCACAGATGATTGTGAGCTACTTTATAGGCACTAGGAATTAAAGCCAGGTCCTCTGGAAGAGCAACCAGGGCCCTTAACCACTGAGTCATCTGGCTCTCCAGCCCCTTTTTGTTTAGTTTGGTTTTGTTTTGTTTTCTGAGACAGGGTATTACTTTAGTGATTGGCTTGGACTCACTCTGTAGTTCAGGCTGCCTTGAACTCTGCAATCCGTCTCAGCCTTCGAAATCTGTGATCACAAAGCAATCCACTGTGAGTTTTCAAAGATGTGCCTCCTCCCAACAGCTGCTGAGTGAAAACATTCAACAGAACAGTGCAGATGACAGGAAGCTCGTTCCCTGTAAGCGCTGGAATTACACCTTTTACCACTAGGTGGTGCCCTTGGTGCCATGTTTCATCAGTTCTATGACAGGCTTCCCTTCAGCACCTTTCTTTGTTGTTGATTCAGACCAGGTTCACAGTAGAACCCTGGCAGGCCTGGGACTGACTACCTGTGTGGACCGAGCTGGCCTTAAACTCACAGAGACCCATCTCTTCCCAAGGCTGACAGCAAAGGTGTGCATCACCGGGCCTGGCTTAGATTTTCTTTCCTTTTTTTAGTGCTTTGCTTGTTTGATGTTTGAGGAGAAGGATTTTATTGTAGATATGAGGAAGTACAGCCAGAGGCATCTGGAAGAGTCCGGACTGAACAACAGGGCCTTGAGGGGGCAGCGGGGAGTAGTGGGTGGTGGGTGGGTGGTGCAAGAGAGGAACAGGATAGGAGAAGGGCCAGTGGACCAACAGAACCAAGAAAGCATGTGACCAAAATAGCAGTTTATATAGGAAAGAAGCTGGGGAAGGAAGTGAAGGCCCTCGCCTTTTTTTGTTGGTTTTTTTTTCGAGACAGGGTTTCTCTGTGTAGACCAGGCTGTTCTCAAACACACAGAAATCTGCCTGCCTCTGCCTCCCAAGTGCTGACACTAAAGGTGTATACCACCACACCTGGCTTAGATTTATTGTGTATCTGTGTGTGATTGTGTCTGTCTGTCTGTCTGCCTTTGTGTGTATGTTTATGAGTGTCTGTGGTGCTCACAGAGGCCAGAATCAATCCCTTGGAGTTAGAGGTGTTTGTGAGTAACCTGACATGGGTGCTAATATCCAGACTCCAGTCCTCATGATAGATAGAGCAGCAAATGTCCGTGAACATTGAGCCTTCTCCAGTCCACGGTTTACTTCTCTGTATACAATAGCAAGGCTGTATTGATACTTTCGAGTTGAGGAAATGTGCTGTATTTCCTACTACTAAATTGCAACTTAGATTTTTTCTTTCTTATGTCAGACAAAATTGAATAATTTTCAGCTGGATATGAAGGTCTTTCCTGTAGAAGAGAAAAACCCATCCTTTGAAGTTTATCATTAAATCTAAATCTCACATTCTGTTGTTCTGTCCTTTTGGTTGGGACCCTGATTGTCTTAAGAACTGAACCATTTCTTCAAACCCTTACATAGCAAGAGCTGTCCTAGAGCCCTTGTAAAGGTTAAAGGAGAGAACTGACTCCAGAGGTATCCTCTGACCTCTATGTGCATGTCATGGCACACATGCCCCCACACATACACACACACAGTAATAAAATTACATTTTAGGGAGCTGGAGAGATGGCTCGGTTAAGAGCACTGACTGCTCTTCCAGAGGATCCAGGTTCAATTCCCAGCACCCACATGGCAGCTCACAACTGTCTGTAACTCCAAGATCTGACACCCTCACACAGACATACATGCAGACAGAACACTAATGCATATAAAAGAAATCATTTTTAAATATTAAAAAAGGGTTCCGCCGGGCGGTGGTGGCGCACGCCTTTAATCCCAGCACTCGGGAGGCAGAGCCAGGCGGATCTCTGTGAGTTCGAGGCCAGCCTGGTCTCCAAAGCGAGTTCCAGGAAAGGCGCAAAGCTACACAGAGAAACCCTGTCTCGAAAAACCAAAAAAAAAAAAGGGTTCCAAGCTGAGAGTGGTGGTGTACACCTTTAGTCCCAGCACTTGGGAGGCAGAGGCAGGCGCATCTCTGAGTTCGAGGCCAGCCTGGGTCTGCAGAGCTAATTCCAGAAAGCCAGGATTACACAGAGAAAACAGGAAAAAGAAAAAATAAGAAGAAGAAAAGAACATGTTGCAAGCTGGAGTTGGTGGTGCACAACTGTGCTATATTCCAGCATTTTGGGAGGCAGAGGCAGGAATATTACTGAACGTTTGGGGCCCGGGCTACATAGCAAGATGCTGTCAAAAACAGATGCCAAGTATGGTGGTACATGCTGGTAATCCTAGCCCTTGAGAGGCAGAGATGGGAGAATCGGGAGTTCAAAGTCAGCTTGAGCCACATAAGCAAGTTCAGTGTTAGCTTTGACTTCTGTATGAGACCTCATCTTGGGGGGCGGTAAGGGGAGGATCTGTGAGGGGATTCTGTGCATGTTGCTGTCTTGAATGTTTGTTTCTAGATACATAGATAAGAATTTGCTTCCTGTGTGTATCAGAACTTCCTGTGGATGGCGTCTAGATGACAGGTCATGTGATGTGCAGTCAGGAGCAGTTCATTGGAAATAGCATGCAATTGGTAATTACAGCCGTCGTTCAGAGGAAGGGACTGGCTTTAATTCTTTGCTTTTCCCATCAGGCTGTCGGTCGGGAAGCTGTGGACCTGCTGGCATTCAGCTCTGCGTCGGAGTTGGAGTCGCTGGGCTTGGAGAGACTCAAGTGTGAACTGATGGCCCTTGGACTGAAGTGTGGGGGCACCCTGCAGGAGCGCGCAGCCAGACTCTTCTCTGTCAGGGGCCTGGCAAAGGAGCACATTGACCCAGCTCTCTTTGCCAAGCCTTCCAAAGGGAAGAAGAAATGAATTCCCTCAGGCTCTCATGCTTTTGACAATTACTCTGGCTTGATGTGGACTTGTGGCCAGTGCTCCTGTTGATACTAAAAGCCAGTTTTTTAATAACTCGGTTCTAACTGGTTTCTTTTCATTGGTACCTGGGCTTCAGGTTTTCACTGGAGGAAGAAAACTTTGTAGAGTATTTTCCTTTCTTTTTGATGTTTTTGAGAGATTCACAGCCGGACAGTGGTGGCGCACGCCAGCATTCGGGAGGCAGAGGCAGGTGGATCTCTGTGAGTTTAAGGCCAGCCTGGTCTGCAGAGTGAGATTCGGGACAGCTAGAGGTACACAGAGAAAAACAAATTAAAAGTTTGGAGAGACTCGCTCTATAGTCTGGACTGACAAGAACTTTGTAGTTCAGCTTGGTCTCAAACTTGCAGGGATCCTCCTGCCTCAGGTATAAGCCACTGCACCTGTTTTGTCAGAGGTTTATACATTTCTTTGGCTTTATATTGTGTCATTTTGGTGCTGTTTTCAGGAAATTTATTTGTAGACACAGTTATTCATGACTTCTGGTAAAAACTTCTCTCTCTTCCCAATACTGAGTGTGTGCGTGTGTGCTACCAGGGATGGGACCTGTCTCTCCCAGGCCTCTCACACTGGGGATTTTTATTCCAGTGGGGGCCTGTTTGGTTTGGTTTTCAGAGAATCGTTTTTTCGGCTTTGTGAGTTTTTCTCAGTTGTCCATCTCCCTAGCATTGCCCGTTTGCTCTCCTGTGTGCCTCGGGCTTTCTTCCTTCTTCAGCCCCTGGAGTGTTAGGTCACTGACTGTAGTCTCTCCCCCCCCAGTGTATTGCCCAGTTAGCAAATATTTGTGTTTTCTCTAAATGCCTTATTGACAGTGACTATTCAGGTCAGAAAACACCTTGCTGTGCTGTGCACGTTGAAAAGAACAAACACAAGCCTGCGGTGGTGGTGCACACCTTTAATCCCAGCACTTGGGGGCAGAGCCAGGTGGATCTCTGTGAGTTCGAGGCCAGCCTGGGCTACAGATGGAGTTTCAGGACAGCCAGGGCTGCACTTACACTCAGCCGGCAGGGGAGTGTGTTCTGGAATACCCATTGTGTGAGTGGCTGGTAGGATTATTCCGATGACCTGTCTTTGCTAGTTTGTTTTCACAAGGAACTAAGAATATTAAAATCTCAGTTATGGTTGAAATCGCCTTTTTTGAGATAAAAATAACTATTAGCATTTGTTGAGTTGATTATAAATTAATTCAGTGGTCTTACATGCACACAAGTTTCTGCATTGCCTTAAAATGTCTTGCTCTAGTTGGTTTTGGATTTTTTTTATTTCACCTTTGACAGTTTTCCATGTGTATACAATATATTTTGATCATGCCCACCCCATCCTACTTCTTTAATTCTGTTTTTATTGTATATTTTAAAACTGTTACTGGGTTTCACTCTTGTGGTGTATATTGAACAGTGTGTCACGCAGTCCCCTTCATCTCTGGTGACAGTTTCCTGTCATTCCACATGTATTTATCTCCAGCCTTTGTCCTGTTTCCACAGCCTGTGTTTTCTGTGCAGTTCTTTTCTCCCCACTCTCTCTGTCTACACTGGGTTCCTACCCACACCATGTATCGTCTCTCATTGTGTCTGTTCTGTCTTGTCATCGTCTGGTCCCTGTCTCTGATGACAAGTCAGTGGTGAGTCACACAATTGTTCTATCATGTGTTCTTTGGGGCTGTTCTCAGACGGGCCCAGATGTTTTCTACTCATTTTTTACCTTGGAGTTGGAACTTTGTAAATTTATGCCATTAATTAAATTTGGAAAAAAATTAAGCAATTGTTTCTTCCCATTCCCCCTCCCCCTCCTGACATTTTCTCTGCTTTCCTTCTGGGAATTAATACGGATATGCTAGCCCACCATGTGACTGCCTCCCCTAAGTTACCAAGTGTTATCATCCCCCACTCCCACCCACACGTTTTCACCCCCTGGCTGTCCAGTTTCTGTGGTGTAACCGAGTTGCCTGGTAGAGGGGCCTGGGAACCTCAGGATCCTGCTCTGCATACATGTAGTTTCTCGAGTGTGGCTCTCGGGGAGCCGCCTAGACACTCAGTTGTGCTCCACAGCAGGAACCTGAGAGACGTGTTTCTGTTGTTCAGGAGGGTCATTTTTCTAGTGTGGTAGCTGAACCCTGCTTCTGTACCATGGGGCTGTTCAAACCTTAAAAGGACATTTGGAAGGTCCAGGGACAGTAGTGTGCACTCTAAATACCAGGTGCTGAAGAGCCAAGGTAGGATTGCTTGATCCCACAAGTTGGAGGCCAGCCTTGGCAGCATAGCAAGACCTTATGTCAAGACAACACGCCCCCAAAGACATTGTGGGTGCAGTGATGGGTTTATCTAAGCTGTTCTGTTACCAATAAAGACTCAGAAGTCAAATAGGGGTGAAAACCTGATAGTTCAAAGAAGCGGTGGAAGAGCAACCAGCCGACCGTCTCTCCACACTTCCCAGACAGAAGAGACTGAAATCTCTAAGTCCCGCCCTCCTCCTTCCTGTGTGTCTTCTCTATCTCTATTCCTGGCTTCTATATGGCTGATTGTGGTCAGCTAGTCACTGGCTCCATCCCCGATTCAAGGTCAATTTTGTTAACACAGCCTTGGGGTGTCACAGAGCAGACCTTTAGAGTTTGTAGAATCTGCTTTGTGGGATTAAAAGTTCCTTGAGCTCCCACAGGTCAGTTGGGCAGCATTACCTGAAGAATTTCCATGGTCACAGGTTGCTGGACCAGTGACCTTTCCTAATGGCTTGCTTGTTCCTTCAGGTTGCCAGAGTTTAGTTAGCATGGGAGTGTGAGCAGCCTGTGGTCAGCTCCTCCCAGGCAAGTGGGATCTAATTGGTGATGTAAAGAGGTCATCATCCTGATCGTCCCTGCACTATGGAAGGCTTGGTTTGCTTGCAGGTCCCTTCTACTGTGCGGCTCTGTCATACTCCCACCCCTTGTCCCTGTACATGTGGGGTGTTAAGAGGCTTCTGCTGTGGGTCCATTCACCTTGGATTGGGTATAGCCACCTTCAACTTCAAGAACTAATATTAAGTTCCTTTTAGATGTAGAAGCCAAAGCAGCTTGAGGGGGACTGGGGCTCTCGGTGTGGTCCCCACAGGGGGATCTCAGGGTGTGGTTCCCACAGGGGGCTCTCGGTGTGGTCCCCACAGGGGGCTCTCGGGGTGTGGTCCCCACAGGGGGCTCTCGGGGTGGTCCCCACAGGGGGCTCTCAGGGTGTGGTCCCCACAGGGGGCTCTCAGGGTGTGGTCCCCACAGGGGGATCTCAGGGTGTGGTCCCCACAGGGGGATCTCAGGGTGTTGTCTGTCCCCACAGAGGGCTCTCAGGGTGTTGTCTGTCTCCACAGGGAGGCTCTGGAGGTTAAATGGTGTGTGTCTTGGAGCAGTCAGGTGCTGCCTTGCAAGGTGGAAGAATCTCTCCCAGAGACGTAACAAAGACTGTGTTGAAAGGGCAGAAAGAAGTGCAAGAGCTGTGGCCTGTGAGATAGCGTCTTGGCCTTGCCAGAGAAGGCCTGGGTGACCTCACTTAGAAAACTGTCTGTGACGGCAGTTTCCCTTTGTGAATGGAGTGTCAATGGATAGCAGAAATTTGACATGATTTACAGGCCACTTAAATCTAACACATCTCCCTGGGTTTGGGCATGATGGTACACACTGTAGTCCTAGCATTTGGAGGCCAAGGCAGGAAGATGGAAAACTTGAAGTCAGCCTGGGCTATAAAAAGAAACCCTGTCTCATACCCAATAAGCCTCAAATAATAAGAAGTAAAAGCTGGGACTGTAGCTCAGTGATAGTGTCTAGGGATATAATGTATGAGGCCTTGAGTTTCATTTCCCTAGAAAGGGGAGCAAGGGATGAAGCTGGAAATGAAGAAATCTCAAGTAATTAGAGGTGTAGACAGATGCTCCTCTGGAGTGTAATCCTGGCTGTTGCACAGGGCCTGCTAGAAACTTCTATGCTTGCCAAGTGCCTCACTTGGCCACTCTGTTGGCTCAGCATAGGAATGCGGTTAGTCTGAGGAGGAATGTCGTATCTTTGCCCTTGAAATTCAGTACATCTTTCAGGACAGCTCCCATACTATTTCCAGCCGTGGATCAAGGTCGGCAAAGGCTTTATGGTGGAGTTTGCTCTGTGGACCCATGCTCCCTAAACTGTCAGCAAAAAACCGCTTGATAATGTGCACCCAGATCATGTCATTCCTCAGAATACTCCTTGTCATTGTTCCTGCCTTCCTCTGAATGCAGCCCACACACTGGCTGTGGCCTCAAGCCTCTGATGGGAGATCTGACCTCATCTTCTTTCTCTGTGCCTCTGCCACAGTAACTTCTGGGCTGTTCTTTGAACAAACCAGATGCTCCACTGTCATAGCTCAGCTCTGACTGGTTCCCACCTGAGACAGACATTGTTCCTCAGATGTTCACAGAGATGTCACTGTTACCTCTTTGATTTGTGTTATGCCCAGATCACAGGGACCCCCAAAAGACCACTATGGAGACTGAATCCCATATGTAAAAGCAAAGAGCCTTTATTTTCAAACTCTGAGCTTGGTCTTTCTGTCTGTCCGACACACCGGTGAGAGCAGAGAGCCCTGAGCTCAGATGGGGCAGGTGTTTTTTACCATAGCAGAGGTTGGGGTGCGGGCATTTCCAGGGTTCAGGACCCTGATTGGCTGACATTTGTCTAGGGGTATCTGTGAAACAGATGTGTGCTAGACTCAGGGCCATCTGGCCATCTTATCCTCATCTAATGGTTGGAATGTTAGGAATGTCAGATATTTCCTCTTAGATGCAGACCCTCCCTGGGAGTGGTCAGCTTATGGCTTTTCCTGGGTTCAGGTGTTTTCTGGGTCTGCCAGAAGCTGTGTCTGGGCTTCTAAGCTTGTCATGGCAGCTGTGTGGTCAAGCTGTTTTGGCCCCGGTCCCCCGCCACATGCACATGTTTATTTTATGTAAGGAAAATGGGCCTCTCTCCATATGGAGACTGCTCCATGAGTACAGAGTTCTAGTTTATTAGCGTCTGTACATAAAAGGTGCTGGACCATCTTTGTTGACTGGATTAATGTACTGTGCTATTCTAACACTGTGTTCCATAAAACAACAGAATTCTGAATATGCTGTTCTTCAGGGTGGATGAGCACTTCCCCTCAGAACCCTCACTTGGAAGCCTCCCGTAGGCCTGTGTGCCTTTGAAGATTGTTGAGCCGTTTTTACCAAATACAGCCCAACTGAAGGGCGGAGCATGCGTGGCAAATCTACAGGCAGGGAGATGCTCACCACTAGCCTTGGAAAATGCCACCTACTGCTTCCAGGCATGGTGACATGCATGGCATGCACCTGTCATCCCAGCCTGGGGGGTGGGGCGGGTTAGGCAGAGATGCCGAGAATTTGAGGCCAGACGAGGCTATACAGTAAGATCCTGTCTCAAATACACTAAACGAAGATGAATGTGATGGCGCGCGCCTTTAGTCCCAGGACACGGCGACAGGCAGGTCTCTGAATTCCAGGCCATCCTGGTCTACAGAGTGAGTGACAGAACAGCCAGGGCTGCACAGAGACAAAACACTAAAAGGAAAAACCTGTGGAGTAAAAAGACTTCCTGTGGCCACTAGAGTGCGCTGTGTGCTAAGTTGCAAGCGAAGCGTGGCGGCGGGGTGAGGGGTGGGGGGAAAGGAGGGGGAACGACTCCCAGAAGTGAGGATCAGGGGAGCCTGAGGACAGTGGTATGGGACAGCTATTGGCAGGGCACTGGCTCCCCTAAAAGCTTGTGGCAGTCATCCCTACTCCCCACCATGGCAGCAGGCAGTTAGGGAAACTGGCCTGAACGTGACAGGGCTGTTTGCTCTGACTTTGAGGTGCTGGGAATTGAACTTAGATCCTTATGCTAAGCTGTCACCCCACCTCTGAGCTGTAGTCCCAACCTCTCTAACTCTTGAATTCTCTGACGTCACTTGCTCTCTTTCTGAGGGTCATGAATAAAGCGTTTATGGGCATGGTCCACAACACCATTACTCTTTTCTTTGACAAACACACTGTCCTGACCATTTGGCATCTCTCAGCTGTCTGCAACTCGGTTCCAGGGAATCTGACACCCCCACACAGACAGACATGCAGGAAAAACACAAATTCACATTAAACAACAACAATAACAAAACAAAACTGTGGTTCAGAGCCTGGTGTGGTAGTGCACGATTTTAATCCCAGTACTCGGGAGGTACAGGCAGGCAGGCAGATCTCTGTGAGTTCAAAGCCAGCCAGGACTACGTAACTATTTGGGGGCCAGCCAGAGCTGCATGGTGAAACACAAGGCCCTGGGTTCATCTCCATTGCTCCAAATAAATGTGTTTGGATTGATAACAACACTCACGAAGACTATTAACCTTCCCTGCAGATGTGAGGGAAGACACACGAGTGGCCCATGGTCACCTGACTCACCAAGTGGTCTGGACACCAGCTGGGTAGTGTGGTTGAAGACTCTATGGTGGAGCTGGGTGGTGGTGGTGGCTTGTGCCTTTAATCCCAGCATTCAGGAGGCAGAGGCAGGCGAATCTCTGAGTTCGAGGCCAGCCTGGTCCATAACACACAGACTATGGTGGACAACTACTGGGTCCCTAAGAAGTGAGGACTGGTGGAGAGATCTCTATTATGGGAAGAAGCTAGCATCCATGCCCTGGGTCTCAATTATTTCTCTTTCCTTTTTATGATTTACTTATGCATATGTTTTGCCTGAATGTATTTATACCATGTGTGTGCAGTGCCATCAGAGGCCAGAAGAGGG